TTCTTTTATATTTTTCATCGTTATTGTGTGGTGATAACAATCTTGTTCATCAAGATTAATAGAAATTTATCATAGGAATTGGTGGATTTCCAACAACCTTCACACTCTGTTGTATTAGTTTGATCAAGATGTTATGACATCTTGCTCGACATTTGTCATGAACCATGTTTTAGAAAAATTATTGTCAATCCTAAAACCATGGATCTAACAATATCCATTTACATCTTGCTTCGAAAAAGCTTGAGTCTGCAGGAGTAATGTAAATCTGAACACTTCCCAAATTTGACTAAGTCCCAACACTTAAACTTATCTGATGGTGTGAAGAAAACACAAGAAAGGTATGGGTTTGGATTGGGTTTTCCTTTCTTGAATAAATTTCTCTTCTAAGCATTATTCGTTAAGCAATGCTTTTGAGTGTTACTTCTAAGTAATGCTTCTAATTAAGTTAAGAAAACATAAACTCTAAAGCATAAGCAAAAGTAAAAAACACGCGATATATCCTGGTTCACTTGAGAAACTCCCAAGCTAGTCCAGTCCACCCTACCAAGGTGATTTCGCCTTGAACTTAAGGACTTAATCCACTATAACCAATCTGATTACAATCGCACGGGAAACTGCCAGTGACTAACATCCAATGACGCGTTCAGGGATCCAAACCGAATATAACATTCTTTGACCCAACAAAATTCGATTCTTCAGAATCTCCTATCAGGATTTCCTTCCAATGATATACATCAATGATCTCAGAAGGATGACCTTCACTCAATCATCTTTGAGATATGACTACCATTGACCCAATAGAATCCACTACCAGGATTTCATCTATGATGACCACAACCAATGTCTTCTTGAGAATCCTGACTCAACCAAGTATCTCAAGGTATCATCAAACAACTGTTTGATTTACATTTGTTTACAATAAAATGCTTCTACACAAGTTGGGTGTAAACAAAATTAAAAACATCAGAAGATCCTAATACACACTAAAAGATATTACATTGCATTGTAGCTTTATGCGTGGTCTTATTTTCTTCAAGTAGCTTTTTTTTGGATAACAACCCAAAGCACTTGAATCGCTGAAGTCTTCTTCTTCATAAGCTTCTGGAAGCTTTGTTGATCTTGATGTAGTAAAGAGAACATCCCTTGTTCTATTTTCTTCAATGATCACTTTATAGCACAACATTTATGCTGTGGATTTGTAACTGGAGCTTTCACAATCATCTTCATTATCTTCTGCAGCTTAGCAAGATTTGTGAAACATATGAAATTAAGCTCATTGTGAATCAATGATTTCATTGTAATCATTATTAAGATGATTAAAGAATCATTTTGATAACAGTCTTTCTTGTTGTTGTTATAGTGGTTGATAGCTTTTTGGTTGTGTTCCAATAATGACAACTTTTTGTTTTTAACATTGAACATCAACAACATTTTAACATACGATTCTTTTCTTATATAACCAAGCAAAACAAAGTCGGTGGATATTTGAAAAAGAGTCGTTACAAGTAGTAGTGCTACATCCTTATCTCTTTCACAATTCAAGCTAGTGGAGAGGTAGTGGAATAAGGCTTTTTCATACTGTGTACTATTGTACCATTTTATCGTTATATTCTTTCCTTCTGTACTTTAGAGACTTCTGCGAGCATGAGTTTAGAATCGGGAACATAACATAAGGTCTTCAGAACTTCAAGTCTTCAAAGTCTTCAGAATTTCGTCGTCAGATTCTTCAGAACTTGGTCGTGAGAACCCGTTGTAGAGAACCTTGGATCAGAAGAGCTTCAAGTCTTCAGAGTCTTAAGAATTGCGTCTTTAGAGTCTTCAGAATTTTGTCTTTAAGAATCCTTTTAAGAACCTTGTTATTAGAAACATAGGTCGTCAGCATCTGGAATTCAGTAGAAACTTTGTCTTTAGATCTTATAACTTTGTCTTCTTGAAACAAGTTGTCTTTTAGAAACTAAGTTATTAGCATCTGGACTTCAGCAGAAACTTTATCTTTAGATCTTCTAACTTTATTTCTTTGGAACACACTGTCTTTAAAAACTTAAGTCTTTAGCATCTGGACTTTAGTAGAAACTTGAGTCTTCAGATCTTCTGACTGTTTCCTTAAAACATGTTGTCTTTAGAAGCTTGAGTCTTTAACATCTGGACGTGATTAGAAACTTCTGTCTTCAGATCTTCTGACTGCTTCTTTAGAACCCGTTGTCTTTAGAAACATGAGTCTCCAGCATCTGGACTTAAGTAGCAACTTCTGTCTTCAGATCTTCTGGCTGGTTTCTTTAAGACAAACATAAGAGCTTACACTTCAGAGCCTTCTAGAGTATCTTGCTACTGTTTAACAGAACTTGTGTAGCGTAGAAGCAGAACTAATTCTCTTCTAATGTCTTGGCCACGCCTTCCATCACAAGTAGAACCTGTTTGTTAAATACTAAAAAAAAAAAATTAGAGTATTAAAATTGTTCATACAAACATACTCATTTGTTATCATCAAAATTCATAGATAATATTGCAGAACCAAATCTTATTCTTACATTATCTTGTCTTAGACTTCACCTTTGCTGATATTCATATTTCGACCAAGGTGTCAAGCATACCTCGACTAAACGTGGTTTTTGAATAATCGACTTTAACCTTATGGTCAGAAATGAACATTTCGATTGGGGCATAACCTAAGAATTACCTGAACATTTCGATTGGGGCATAACCTAATGCATAACCTTATGTTGAAAATCTAAGGTAATAATTATCTGCTTAACCAAGGTAATATATCATATATAATATAATAAAATAAATAAAAGGAGATAAAATATTGTTGTTAGAAATCCAAGCAGAATTGATCAAAACTTTTCTCCTTGATTGTATGCTCAATCGAGGGAATGAGTCATTTTCCATTTATCCAAATTTTTAAAATGTCATGGCATTTTGTTTTCGTCTGAGTTGAATATGCAAGCGAGATAAAAACTCGTTAGACAATCTGTAGTGGCTGTTACTATTTTTGAAAGTCGATAAATATTCAAATTGTTTGAGACTTGGTATCTTTCTCTTTTAAAATATTCCCTTTATCCTAAATTATAATAGAAATTCATTTTTTAGATTCATTAAATGTTTAATTTATATGGTCTATATATAGACCAAATATATTAATTATTCAATAAATATAAAAAATATTTTTTTCTTATAATTTAGAACAAAAAGAATAGAGTTTTAGATGTTTGAGATTCTTATTATTTATTCAATGAATTTTTGTTATAGTTCATAGTTGGTTTGACGTTTTCGTTGTATAATTTAGTACACGGTGTACTTTATGTTCTCTTGCTTTTTATATTTCCAGAGATTTATATACTCATATTATAATATATTATATAAATGTATGTTTGGATCGGTTTTTAGAAGTCTAAAAGCATTTCTTGTCTCCTTCAATTTAAATTTTAGTTTTATTTTTCAAAATTAATTCTTTTTCTTAAAAAACAATTCTACTAGAAGTTGGTTGGATTTAGTAAAATCAAATTTTTATTTATTAAATATTATTTTGATTCTACATTTATTATATATTATGATTTCTTTTTGATTTATATTAAAATTTATTATCATTTTAATAAAGGTTAAATATATTTTTGATTCCTATAAATTATTAAACTTTGTTTTCAGTCTTTATAAAAAAATATGACATATTTTAATCTTTACAAAATCATTATGTACGTTTAAAACCTTATAAAAAATTCTTCGAAAAAAAAGAATTCAAAATTTGATTTTTAAATCAAAATTTTTATTACTTTTATCAATATCTCTTAAAATTTAAAAAATTCATATTTAATTCATCTCATTTTAAAAAATTCTAAAATTTGGTTAAGAAACATCACATATGAAAAAAATTATTCAAAAATTTAAAATTTTAAAGATAATTAAACGATTTTCAAAATTTTAGAAAATAGTAGTGACTAAAACTACATTAATAAAAAATTTCTAGGTTCAAAATATGTCATTTTTTTAATATGGACTAAATGAAATTTAAAATATTTATAGAGACCAAAAACATATATAACTCTTTTAGTAATTATACGATTTAAAATCAATTTTGATAAAATTATCTAAAAAATATTAATCAATAACAATCACTTCTATATTATTATATCCAAACATAAATCAATTCTACTAATTTCAATTATATTAAAATTAATTCTATCAAACTCAATTCTCTTAAAATAAATTTTATCCACAATCAAATCAAATATAATAATTTAATGTTATTCAATATATTTATTTTATAGTAACTTAAAATAATATCCTAATTTAAGTAAAATTTAATTTTTTTTTATATACGAAAAAAAAGCTTAATCTTATTTAGTATATTATTTAATAGTCTTTTTTTCTTATAGAAAAAATCTTTTTCAATGGCTATACAAAGAAACATGTTAGCATGTACAGTCAATCATCACAAATTATGATGAGCTGTCTTAAAAATTTCCAAATTTTCCTTTTTCTAATTCTTAGAATTCACAAGAAACAACTTTAATTTAAAGTTTTTTCTTATATTTTTATGAAAACCTCATCAAATTTTTTAGTGCTTTATATATAAAGAGATGGAGATGGTATATTTTACGAGTGTCTGTGGTTTATGAAGTACACTGAATTAACGACTATAATAAAAAACACTTGAGCTTTAAAGTAGTTTAATTCAATTTAAAAAAATAGAACAAATTAGTAATTATAAATCAATTTATAATCAATTTGTATTTATAAATTAATATTAAGTTGTAAAATCTAAATTTTATTTTTAGATATATGCTTCAATTAATCATATATACACTATTTTGTTTATTTATATCTATTTAGTCTAAGTTCAGAAGTCTGGTCAAAAAAAGACAAAATCTGATATTCCTTATTAATTACAAAGTTTTCCACATTAGAATCCAATTAACATGTCTTGTTTTAGCCTTGATAAATACACTATATATTGTTTTGAATGTTAACACAACATTGACATTACCAACCAACTCTATATGATGGATAATACTATCACAACATGTTCGTTTTTTCTTTCAACTCTAACGTTGGTTCTTTCTCTTCTTGTTCCAACTTCATATTCCTTATCATCATCATCATCATCACTATCCCTTGAAAACTTTATTCAATGTCTTTCAAACCATTATTCTCCACCTTCACACCCTGCATCCCACGCAATCTACACTCCAAAAAACTCTTCATTCTTGTCCATCTTACACATGCATACGTACAACAACAGGTTTTCTTCACCAACAGCACCAAAGCCTCTTGCAATTGTAACATCTCTCCATGAATCACATGTTCAAGGAACAATCATATGTGCCAAAAATCACGGCCTTCAAATCAGAATCCGAAGCGGCGGCCACGATACCGAAGGACTTTCATATGTATCAGATGTTCCTTTCATCATACTTGACATGTTTCATCATGATTCAGTTAATGTAGACATTAAAAATGAAACAGCGTGGGTTGAAGCAGGTGCAACACTTGGTAAAGTTTATTATTATATTGCAAAGAAAAGTAACGTTCATGCTTTTCCAGCTGGGGTGTGTCCTACGGTAGGTACCGGCGGTCACTTCTCAGGTGGTGGCTATGGTAATTTATTGAGAAAATTTGGTCTTACTGTTGATAATATTATCGATGCGAAAATCGTCGATGTTAATGGTAATATTCTCGATAGAAAATCAATGGGAGAAGATTTGTTTTGGGCTATAAGAGGTGGTGGTGGAGCTAGTTTTGGTGTTATTCTTTCATGGAAAATTAAACTTGTTTCTGTGACACCTAAAGTCACTGTTTTCAGAGTGCAGAGGAGTGTGGAAAAAGATGCAACAAATATTGTTTACAAATGGCAAAAAATTGCTTCAAAATTGGATGAAAATCTTTTCTTAAGAACTACGTTTGACGTAGTCAATGATACTCAAAAGGGTAAAAAGAATGTAAATGTTACTTTCATTGGCATGTTTTTGGGACTAACTAATAAACTAATGCCTTTGTTGAATGAAAGTTTACCTGAATTAGGTTTGAAAAGAAGTGATTGTATTGAAATTCCATGGGTGAATTCAACTCTTTATTGGTACAATTATCCAAATGGAACCAAGCTTGAAGTTTTGCTTGATGTCCCTAAAGAGCCTCTTTTGAGCAACTATAAAACAATGTCAGATTATGTGAAGAAGCCGATTTCGAGAAATGGTTTGGAATCGATTTGGGAGTTTATGATTAAAAGTGATCGCGTTAGGATGGAATGGAATCCTTATGGTGGGAAGATGGATGAGATTTCGGAATCGGAAACTCCATTTCCTCATAGGAAAGGAAATTTGTTCTTGATTGAGTATTTGACTTCTTGGGGAGAAGATGGAGTTGAGGCAAGAAATCGTTATTTGAATATTTCAAGATCATTTTATAAGTTTATGACCCCTCATGTTTCCAACTCACCTAGGGCGACTTTTTTTAATTATAGAGATCTTAATATTGGTGCAAATATACCTAGTAATACAATAAAACTTGACATTGCTCGAAGTTATGGGATCAAGTATTATCAAGGTAATTATGAAAGATTAGTGAGTGTGAAATCTAGGGTTGATCCTGACAATTTCTTTAGATATGAACAAAGTATACCACCTTTTCATTAGTTATAGAACGTTGTAGGATGTATTGGATTGCTATTTTAAATGTATTTTTTATCTTAAAAAGTGTGTATTTGATTAAGATTTTTATTAAATTAAATAAATTTAGCTGAAATGTGTATTGGATTATTATTTACTATTTAAAAAAACTCATTTGTCATGTGATTTTTACGTCACAATATGGAAAATTACATCACTTATAAGTTTTTTGTAACGTGACTGAATACACGGTAAGGGAGCATGTGACAATTTATTAGTGACGTGATTTTCATGTCACAAAGTTGTGACGTGAAAATCATAATATTACAGTAGAAACACACAGAACAAATAATATGTCAGATATCCATAATATTACAGTAGGAATATGCAGAACATATAATAGGTCAGATATCAATAACATTATATTAAGAACATGTAGAACAGATAATGGGTCACCGCACACATAATTTGTGTGCTGTGATTTTAATATCACTAATTTTTAACGTGAAAATCATGTCACTAAATAACTATTTTTATTTTAAATAAAAATCCGAAACAAAGATGGTGCGAATGCAATTTGATTTATATGTCACAACTTTGTTATATGAAAATCACGTCACTAATCACATTTTTTTTAAAATGATTTCTGAAACAAAATATTTCATTTAAATTATATTAAATAAACTAAACATAATATAATAACCATAAATTTTATAATAACTATAAATAAATTAAACAAAACAAAACTATAATAACTATAAACTAAATAAAATTTATTAAATAACTATAAACTAAAAAAACTCACATAAACTAAATAAGTTTTAATAATAACTATAAATTAAAAAAACTACATAAAATAAATAAATTGTATATAATACCTATAAACTAAACTAAACTCACATGATATAATAACTATAAATAAATTGTATAACTATTCTTAATACATATAATGATCCTATATTCTATTTTTATTAATATATATTACATTCTATTTTTATTAATATATATTATTCTGTTTTTAACTATATTATATTTTGTTTTTATTAATATATATATTATTCTGTTTTTATATATTCGGTTTTTAATAATATATATTATTCAATATTCTGTTTTTATATATAATTCTGTTTTAAAAAAAATATATATATTATATTTATTAACATTAATAAAATATATAATATATATATATATTATATATTATATTCTGTTTTTATTTATATATATTAACATGAAAACTGTTTTTTTTAATTCTATAAATTATTCTGTTTTTATTAATATTTATTAATCTGTTTATACAATAATATATATTATATATTCTTTATTCTATTTTCTATTTTAAAAAAATATATAATATATTCTGTTTTTAAATAAATATATATTATATTATATTTTGGTTTTAAAAAAAATATATATATATATATATTAACATTAAATCTTTTTTTGTTTAATCTATATATTATAAAAAAATTGAATTTTATTATACATTTATTTTGATAATATATATAAAATCTAAAATAATTAACTTGTAAACTATTATAAAACCCATTTTTATCAAATTTATATATAAAAACGCAACAATAAGTTAACAACCAACAATCTAATAAAAATCTGAAAAAATAAAAAAATGAAATTGCAAAAATATCTCAATGAAGCTTGATTAATACCTTTGAGTTGGGATCTTGAAGTTTGAAAAAATTCACCTTCAAAAAAAAATCAAAAACTGAAATTAGTGACTAAATTTTTAAAAAAAAAAAAAGAAAAAAAAAAGAGAATTAACAAGAAAGAGGTGAAATTATACCTTTAAATTGAAGATGAAATGAGATTGAAGAGTGAATTGAGAAAATGAATGAAAGAAGAGAGATCGCTGAATATGGGTGAGGAAGAAGAGATTGAAGAATTTTTGCAAAAATAATTCATTATTATGAATGAACGAAAATTGGAAATATATAAAGAATGTAGCGACGTGAAAATCATGTCACAAAGTTGAAATGTGAAAATCACGTTGCAACCCTTCAAAGGTGATAAAATTGTGACATGATAATCATATCACTAATTAAAGTTGTCAGTTGACTGCGCCTCATCACTTTCCAATCGGTCAACTTTCCCACTTAATTTTTCAAAATTTCCCACTTAAGAGTTGTAACGTGATATGCACGTCACATCTTAAAATTTGAAATTTTCAAATTTTCCTCATGTAGATGTTACCGGCTTTTTATTTTTTACTTTTTTTATGTTACGACGTGATTCTCACGTCACAACTTTTTTTTTAGATAAAATTTGACTCCCCATTTAGGGGTGTTCGTGGACCGATTTAATTCAGTTTTGAGAGAATCTGATACCCAAATCGATCAAAATTATATGGATTGGTTTGGATTGGATTTTTATATTTTTTTGATAAAATCCAAACCGAACCAAATTAAGAAATAACGGGTTGGTTTGAATCGGATTGATCGAATACATTAGAAATAAATGTGTAAAAATATTTTTTTAAAAATATCTAATTTATATCAATTAATTTTCATAATAATATAAAATTATTATTATTTTTTCGTTTCTCCATATACAGTAGAAACTTTTTAAATTAATAATGCCAGGACGGGAGAAATTTATTAATTTAAAGAGTTATTAATTTATCGATAAATTAATAATTATTAGTTTAAAGAGTTTTGGACGATAGATGTTCGAAAAGAAACAATAGTGAATTGCTTCTAACATTGTAAAATTCGATCAGCTAGTAACATTGCAAGAAATTTGGATGAATCTACTTTTGATGAAGAAACTCAAGACCTCGAGACTATGATCAATCAATGTGGCTATCGTAATAAGATGGATATCGACAATCTAATGAACTACCCAGGTGAAAATGAAGCATGTTCGGAGGTTCAAAGTTTAGAAGATATTGTGGGTACTATCATTGAGAATAATGCAGAGGATGATGGCGAACATGATACGGTGTCTTTGGAGCCTGTTACGCGAAAGGAAGCACTTATGACGTCGAACACTCTTCACAACTTTATGATACAATATAAAAATATAACACCTGGGCTATTGGATGCAATAAAAAAAGTTAGAGATTAGCTACAAATAGACTTGAACTTTAAAAGAAAACAGACAACTACTGAATCATATTTCAATAGAGTGTAATATATATTTTTTCAGTTTCTATGAATTATTAATTTATGATTTTCTTGGGACCAAATATTATAAAGGGATCTCCCGAAAAATTATTATCTTATTATTTTATCTAGTTTTTCAATTTTTTACATTGACCCAAGTCGAGACCGGACAAATTTATTATTTTAGAGAGTTTATTAATTTATCGAGTATTAATTTAAAGAGTTTCTACCGTAGGTTGTGAATGTCACAAATGAATTTTTTTTTATCGAAGTTAATATTTTATACTAGTTTCCATAATAATGATGATATAAATTATATGAATTAATATGGTTGATTCGGATAGACGAACTCGCAGGTAGAATTTTTAAAATTTGTTACCCGAACTAATTAACATCGAATTTCATTGGTTTGGTTCGATTTGGTTCGGATTTGTCTGAACCAATGAACACCCTATCTCCATATGTTAATGTTAATTTTATTATTTTAATATTAAAAACATGTAGTGACGTGATTATCACGTTGCAATTACATTTTTTTTGTCACATAATAATCACGTCACAAAATTATTTCGGGAGTTTTTTTATTGTAATTTTTATGTTAAAAAGTGTGTATTTGATTAAGATTTTTATTAAATTAAGTTTTCATAGAATGTTGCAGGATGGATTGGATTTAAAATGTATTTTTTATGTAAAAAAAATATGTATTTGATTAAGATTTTTATTAAATTAAATAAGTTTTGATTAGTTATAGAACGTTGTAGGATGTATTGAATTACTATTTTAAATGTATTTTTTTTGTTAAAAAAGTGTATATTTGATTAAGATTTTTATTAAACTAAATAAGTTTTATAATATTAAATTATGAATCAATAACTTAGTGACTTTTTCATTTTCTCTGTTATATAATAAATTGAATTTATTTTGCAGGACTTATATCAAATTTAGGTATTGGGATTTTTCTTATATCAAATATATATATTTAATAGGAATTTTTTTAAAAGTAAATAAAATATATATTAATAAAAAAAGAACACTGACGATCAAAGTACAAGGACATTTGAGACAAGCACGAGAAGTGTCAATCTCGAAAAAGAGGACAACAAAGCTCAAAACAAAACAACAAAAGTGATCCCAACTATTATATGGATGGATCAAACCCACGAAAATTAGAATCCAAACAAAGTTGGATCTCTCCTAAACCAGGACACCTGAACAACCAAGGATCCTAAAGAATTAACAAGAACACTCTCAAAGGGAGGTCGCAGACACTCACTCACCTTACTATAAGGGATAAGATTCTCAAGCTATGCTTAGAAGGTACATGAGTGTCCCATATACTTATCAATATACTATTTCCAAGCTAAAATAATATTTTTGTCTTCTACGTCTTTTCATGTCACTAAAGAACCTGAAAAAATGATATTATTCCTAGATTTCCAAATCGACCAGACCACAACATGCCAATTCATCCACAATCCCCCTCAACACCTAGAACTTCCACACAGAGGAATAAATATTTGGAAAAGAGCGTTCATCCTAACCATCTAAAAGTCTTATACCAAACAGTGGAAGTAACCTTTAAAAGTGACACATAGGTAAGAGGACGTCTCAACGTCCAATGAGCAGAAGGGGTGGGAAATAGTACCAGATGTCAAATGGATTTCCCTCTTAAGTAAGTTCTCTCTGGTAGGGATACTGTAACGCTCGTAATTTAATTAATTTTTTGGAACATTTGTGAAGATGAGTTATGATTAATTGGATTTATTTTATTAAGTGGAGAAATAATATTAGAATTATAATATTATTGGATGTGGGCTTGTTTTTGAAAGATTAAAAGTAATAAGGGGGTGTATTAATTTGAGTCCAATAAGGAATAAAGAATAATAGGGTTATTTTATTGTTGTTAGAAAG